GTGGATGATTGTATTGAGAATAACTTTCATCTTTTCTTCAACTGAATACTGTTTCTGTGCTGTTTTGATGTATTTTAAAGTGTTGGCAGTCAAAATTAAAACTGCTGGATGAAAGATATTCTTTAAAATGTACTCAAGTAAAAGTAAAAGTACACAATTTTTAAACTACTCAAAAAAGTACAATTACTGATAAAAAAATACTTAATTACTGTAATGTGATTATTTGTAATTGGTTACTTCACACCCCTGGTTATAATATACACACACACACACACACACACACACACACACACACATTTGACACAGTTAACATTTAACCAACCGTTGACCCATTTACTTTGACATTATAATGATTTAATTCTACTCTGTTTCGTTTTAAAGACTGATTGGAACCACTGTGACACACAAACACACAAATCAGTAAATGAATGACACATGCGAATGTTATACTGTAACATCAACTTATTCAATTTAGCCGTACAAAGACTCCAAATAATTGGACTTTTATTAGTCCGATCAGTATTTAATTTATAACTAACTTTGTCATCAAAAAGATATTTCAAGGAAACAATTTGTCTATAATTTACTAATAAATAAGAGTCCTGTAATTGGGTCTCCTACAGCGTTCCCTCGCAAAGCTGGCAATTCTACATCAGATTTATCAAGATTTGTGATTGTAAAGTTACTTAAAAGGCTTTACAATTTTAGATATTGTCAGTATATTAATATTCTATATTTCAGCCCCCAATTTAAAGTATTGGATGAACCAGTGTTGGGTTCTGATAATTACACATAATAGCTCTACAAAATTGTTGGACTTTAATTTTTTCATGATAAGGTAGCCAGTGAATGCCTGCTACTGTAGTTTGAGATCCAAAGCTCTGCTTTAAGTCATAACTCTCGAAAACACTGCCATTACCTAAGCTTTAATAAGTGTTTACCATTCCAAATTTTGAGCCAAGTTTCCAATAATATCAGTTTATATAAATTCTATTTCAATTTTACCATCCTGAAATTTGACATTCCCTCCTACCCAACACATAAGTCTCCTGCCATGGTCTGAGGCAAGATCCTCTCCCTCTCTTTCTTTAATGGCTCTATATCTGCTGTATCTGTCCAGCGACTGCCAGAGGAGATGCCAGTGCTGGTTCCAGCCAACAGAATATCATGTGCTCGCTCTCCTCTGGGGCTCTATGAAGAATCGGTTTTCTTGAGTCGCAGCTGAGGCAAAGTTCAGGCTTGTTGTTGTATTGGATAATGATTGAGTAAATACACAATTTTACAAATAGGCTACCTAAAAGTGCTGCTGGGAATAATCGGCTGGCAGAGAAGGGCTTGCCTGAGGAGCTCAGTATCGCAAATAAACTGAATAAATGCTTATGGAAGTATAAAAGGGGTAAAGTGGATGAGGAAAAGAGTTAGCATTTAGAGGTGTAGTATAAAAAAAATAAAAAAAAAATAGTAAAATAAAATAATTATGTATTACTGTATTACCTTTCTCAATGACATGAGTAGTTATAGTCCTCTCTGCAAGGCAAAATACAATATTACATTAATACAATTTATAAAAAAGCATGTCAAATGTAATCTATATGCTGTTGATGATGTTATTATTTTATGTGAAACTTAAAGAGAGAAATCATGAATGAGGGATGAAATTGAACTTACTGATGAACGTTAGTGGAATCTCATGGTAGGTGTATCCAGATACAAACTACACACAAACCAAAATAAAAATAAAAATAGAACCAACTGATAAAGTGATATGTGTGTTTGTTCGGTGATGTACTGGACTGTGATGGATCTGTTATATCATGTGAGATAGTGTACAGATATGATGTGTGCTCTGCTGTACCTTCAGCTGTATGTATCTGATGAGTCTCTTCAGCAGAATCAATATGTCTTCACGGCCAACTGGCAGATCTGTGAAATGCAGTAAAAAATGATTTATTAAGCTCTGGGGACTGTGTCTTATGTCTCAGGAATTGTACAGTTATATAAGAGTGGAAAAGGTACACTGAAGACAAAGACCATCTATGCAATTGATTTTGACTTAATACATGTAAAAATATTCTTAATCCCTCCAAAATGTTACATCTTAAACGCTGTTAGTAATATACCTTGAGGATATAAGATGGTCTTCACTACATGGACCACTCCATTGGATGCCATAAGATCAAAATCTGGAACCTCCACTGAATTTACATGGATGGAGTTGTTAACCTGAGTGTAACAGACATATATTATTTTATAAAATATTACATATATGTTTTATGATTATTTTTATTTTTTAATATTGCGTACATAAGTCTTCTCAAATATTTATGCAAGCCTTATAAAACCCTTTGAAACCCTTTGAATACAGACAAATACAACTGCAGGACATCGTATTAAGAGGTCACTTCCTTGTTTTGGCTCTGTTTGCAAGATATCTGTGTATAAAGTAATTTTACATTTACAGTGCTGATATCTGTTTTCTGCAAAGGAAGTGTCTGGACATTAGGAGACCCATTGTTCTAGCTTTTAGAGGGAGTTGCAGGTAGAGGTGTTTCTGAGATTTGAGTTATGAGTTTGATTGATGGCAGCAAACTGTCTGGAAGTTATGACCTTACCGCTGTAGCAATGCTCCAAATTCACACAAAATTGCCCTATGCCATAGACCTTCAGCTATACACAAACACAGAAAGAGAAATGTTCATAGTCCTAATTAGGATGAGATGTATGTTTTTTTTTTATAATCAAGTCAGCTTCATACTCAATGTTATCATGCTGGTATGTTTCCTTTAAAGGATTTAAGTGAATGGTCTGGATTTGGTCAGACACAGGAAATTTGTGCTACGTCTAATTGCATTGTCTGACGATAACAACATGTCAGGTCCTTCCTCTCTTGTGCTACCAAAATATTAGTATTGGCTCAAATTTAAAAGTCACTCTTTCAGAGTTTTATTATGGAGTGTGCAAATGTCTTTATACATTAATCATGTAACTTGAAAAGCTAATTATGGGACATCTTTATCATAATCCCTGTTGGGATAAAGCTGACATTTGGAAATCTCTACATTTTCACTAATTATGGTATTTAATCAGATAAAGTTGGTTTGTTAGTGCCTAAAAAACCTGACCGATAAAATATCCTATCTTAAAATAACAATTCTTGTACTTACAGACAGCACTTGAAGGTTGTTGCCCTGAATGGTCTTGAGAAGATTAGTCACTCCACCCTCCAAGCCTCCATTAATAAAGACGCCATTGCTAAAGTGGTAGAGCAGGATCGCCCTTAGGCCGTTGATGTCGCCTGGATAACACAATAGTCATAATGTCACTGTGAGGAAACAAACCAAGCAAAAGTTGGACATCATCTAAAAAATATAGAGGATAAAATGTTTACTTTTCAGAAGAGCGATGTTCTCCTCTGTCAGGGTGCCAAAGGCGGCATCGATAGGAGCAAAGAGTGTGTACGATCCCTCCTGCTTCAGTAGATCTGTCAGTTCAGCACTCTCCATCAGAGACAGGAAGATTCTGAAATAATTCAGCCATGCAGCCAATTAATTATTTGTACATACATACATACATAGTTTTTTATTTGAATGAATGAATGATGCATTTATATTATTTAATTTAATATTTATTTAATATTTCAATATAATTGTTAATTACATGCAGAGATTATCCTGTTAAATTAAGTGTTTTTCAGTGTATATAGTAAATTAACTTACAGTTAAGTTTTCCTGCAGCATTTTTTTTTTACATTTTATCCTGTTACCTTTACAGTTTTACAGTTTAGTTAATAAAATAATATTAATCATATTAAGTCATGATGATAATCTCACTTAAAGCGTCCGTCTTTTAAGAGCAGGTCATAGATGGTTGTCTCGGGTGGCTGAATCAGTGATCGCATGAGATGAAGGACACCGTTACTTCCTTCTCTGCTGCCTCTGGCCATACATGCATTCTCAATACACACAGCCTAAAACACACACATAAAAAGGAGAATGAAATGATAGTTGTGCCTTGGACACTTTGTAGAGTATTGAAACAAATACAGTATAGTTAGACAAGGACATCTTTAAAGCCTATGAACGTATCTGAAGTAAATAAGAGTATAAAATGTAACTGCCAGCACAATAAACATTTAAAAAGTAGTTGTTTTCACTCATGTAGTTTACACAATAATTGTTTGCAGGTCCCCAATCTTTCACTAATTCTCTTTCTCTCAAGTCTTTCTCTCTCACCGTGCGATAAATGAAGACTCTGAGCAGTTTTCCTCCCAGGGTTTCGAGCAGCTGGCCGTTGTAGAGGTCACTCAGAGAGACTCTGAGTTTCACAATGTGGTTTTCCAGAATAATTTTCAGGAGACGCTGATCCATGGACATTACCTCATCTGCATGACAGGTGAAGACACTAAGTTATTGTGACATTTTAACCTGGACTGTGGGGCATTTAAAAATGTACCTATAATTAACTACCATCAATCCATCCTTGCGTGTGTATGTGTTTGTCTCTCTCTCTCTCTCTCTCTATATATATATATATGTCCATATTGTATTAAATTATATATAAATTACATATTTTTTTAATTTTTAGAAATGATATATAAATGTATGATAATATAATTAATATAATGCTATATAAAAATGTATTATTTAAAATCACATCAAATGTATAAAATAAATTATTAATTAATAAATTGTTAATTATTGTAATTATACAATTATTATATTTATTTAAATATTAATTTATTATAAATAAATAAAAATATATAGTGCATATATATTTTTGTAAAAAAAAAAATTATTAGTTTATTCAGGCCTCCTCCAAAACAAAAAGAAAAGAAAAAAAAAAAAGAAAAACTTCTGGTAAGCGTTCACAGTTATCTCTTCATGAGTCATGAGGTCAACTCACCAAAGAAGGCTCCATTCAGTGGGGCAAGAATAGTATATTCAGTCTCAGGCTGCATGGCGGCAGACAGGCCAAGCTCAGACACCATGTCACTGAAGATGCTCTGAGATTTGCCTATAAGCTCCATCACCTGCTTGGCTGCAAGACATGATACACACTGATCACAACTGTAGATTTAGATGTTATATCAGTGACAATACATTTATATTTGAATATATGCAAATTTATGACATATGTAATTTTTAAAGTGAGCTGTCCTTTTAAGATAAAATAAAGTCAGACTGAACCCAGTGGGTAGTCTCACCTGAGTCAGGCATGAGCACCTGGTTGATCAGATGAATGACCCCATTGCTGGTGACAATGTCCTTCTTCAGCACCATCTTGATACCATTGACTGTGAGACTCTCACCATCACATCCGATCTCAATATTACTGCCCTCAAGAGTCCCATAGACGGAGCCTACCATAATGGCCTCAGAGCACTGCACTGAGTTCAGGAGGTGGTACTTCAAAAGGGCTTGTAAAATAAATAGAACAAGAGAGATGGAGAAAGGTTAAGTGACAGATTGAAAGATAAACAGTGTGGTGATCTAAACTGTTGGGATGTCTTTATCGTCACAGTCCAGTAAGCATCAAGATAATGACCACTAGAGACAATTAAAAACACAGAAGCTCATGTTGTCCAATGGGACACCAGCCCAGTTCTTCCTGTGCGCAGGCAATGTGGTGGAGAGCTGAGACTCTTACATCAACTGTGATATCACTTTCCCAGCAGCTGAGCTTATTTTGCCAATTTCCTGCATCTGTTTAAGCTGTACATGTATGTGCAGACTGACAACTTTAAGTGCTTCGCCGAACCAAAATCCAAATCAAAACCACCTTCTTAAGACAGGTCCTATTCATCTACACTTCTACACTTTACCACATGGGCTACTCGGTAACAGTCAGCTGTGGAGCACACATTAATGCACAATGGAGCATTGAGAGTGAATGTTGGCTGCAAAAGGGACAAATAGGACACTTTAGGGCAGTGGTTCTCAGTCAGGGAGCCGAGAACCAATAGATGGCCGCAGCACACTTCCAAGGTAGCGCAAGATGACTTAAAATAATTTTTGTAAAATACAAAGCAAACTTTAAAATAAGCTAGAACGGTTAAAAATGTAGTTTCCTCAAAAAAATTTATTAAAAAAAGACATGCGTTTAATGATACAAAATGTGAACGTACCAGTTTCTGAAATATTCCTATGAACGATTTATAAAATGTCTGTATAAACAAAAATGTTCATAAATGCATCTCTATTTTTAAATCTCCACTTCATCTTAAATTCAAGTGCATGTATTATTATTATGATGATTATTTTATGTGAGTAATGAATATAAATTAATTCATTTCAGTGATGTAATAATTAAAGAGCAGTTAAAATGTTGCTCATTTGTGCATATAATGAGGTCCCGGGTTCCCACATTCTTAGAAAACGTCTCATGTTACGTATGTAACCATGGTTCCTCGAGGGAACGAGACGCTGCGTCAGAGGATGCTTCGGGAACGCCCTTCAGCGTGACGGGCTCTGAACCTCGTGTGTAATCAGACCAATAGATGGGCGAGACGTCACGGGCAGGTGACGTAATGACCAGGAAGCTATAAAAGCATGTGCGGTGAGACCAGCGTCAGCTTCCAGGAATGAAGCAAGCGCTGGCAGAGATGCCGAAAGTATGGCCCCGAGACGCAGCATCTCGTTCCCACGAGGAACCAGGTTTACATACGTAACCTGAGACGTTCCTCTTCAGGAACTCGAGCTGCGTCGGAGGACGCTTCGGGAACGAGAATGCCCACGCCGCCAGACTTTCAAATCTCGCCTAGTGTGGAAGCGTGCACAGCTAAGGCGCGAGAACAGAGGAGCTATGACTGAGCGGTTCAAATGACGTAGATCTAAAATGGGACGCAACCCGCCATCCTTCTTCTGAACTATGAAGTACCGGCTGTAGAACCCGGACTGCCTCGCATGAGGAGGGACCACCTCGATGGCCTCCTTCCTCAAAAGAGTGACTACTTCTTGTTCCATGACCAGAGCCTGCTCGGGGCCCACCAGCGTGGGCGTCCCCTCTCTACAGTGTGCAGGACCCACTGAGACACATTTGGCAGTAGTTTCCACGCTGCCAAAAAGTCTACTAAGGGAATCAGTCTCTCGAGACTGACCTCTGGTGTAATGAGAGCAGCTAGCTCGGTGCCCTGTAACGGCGGACCGGCAGGAGACAACCGAATCAGCTGCTCTAGAGACCTCCGCAGAGGTGGCGAGCCTCTTAGCACCGCTACGTTGCCGGGCGGTGACTGAGAGTGGCGCTCGCGGGAGACCGCTGCGCCCTGTAACTCCGGCAGGGTTAGCAGACCGATCTCCTGAGGGCACTGAGGCGAGACGGACACCGTGTAATGCGGTGTAACCCGCTGCACCCCAGAGGCAGGGAACAACCGAACCTGCTGCTCTAGAGACCTCCGAGGAGGTGGCGAGCCTCTTAGCACCGCTATGTTGCTGGGCGGTGACTGAGAGTGGCGCTCGCGGGAGACCGCTGCGCCCTGTAACTCCGGCAGGGTTGCGGTATGAGGAGCCGGTACCCGGAGGGGGCTGCTCTCACCCAGCAGCCCCCAGAGTTAGAGAGCGGCGAGGGAGAAACCACTGGAACGCCGCCGCCCGTTTACGGGCCTCCTGGTACCTGTCGATGATCGAATTGTCGGCGTTGCCAAACAGGCCAGAAGGCGCAAGCGGGGCGTCCATTAGGCAGACCTTCTCGGTAATATTCTCGGATTTTACCTGCTCAGCCTCGTCTAGCTCCTTCAGCAGGTCGGCTTGGTACACCTGTAACACCGCCATGGCTGACCTGCTGCCGAGTACCCTTTGCCCACCAGCGCTGACGTTGTGCGCAGCGGCTTGGAGGGCAATGCCGGAGCCTTTAGAGATGATGCCGCGCCTGGGGCGATTGAGGGGGCGAATCCTCATCGACGCCCACCACATCAACCTCCTCGGAGGAAGACAGGCGGAACGCCAAGCCCGCTCCCCGGGGGGAAGTAACCGCAGCGCGGGCTTCCGATCCCGGCGAGCGAGCGCTGGATCTGGCGGGTGAGGAAGAAGATAGGGACTCGCCCGTCTCCATTTCCTCTGCCAGTTCCAGCTGCGAACCCCACGAGCGTAATCGCCGCTCCGCCTCGGCTAGCAAAGGCACCCTCCTCAAAGAGTGCCTTCCGGGAGCGGAGAACATGCATCGCAAGACGCTCGCAATGCGGGCAGTCAGCTCTCTCGAGAGCCAACTCAGCATGTTCCGTTTCCAGGCAGAGGATATATGAGGGAATTTTCAAAGCATGATTTCTACATGAAAAAGTCAGGGAAATTAATCAAATCTTAAGAAGCCATTTCTATAATGATTAATGAATATATAATTTTCTAGTTATGTCAAGCTCTAAAATATTTTATTGGAAGTGCTGCGAAATTGCTATTTATGAGTAAAAAAAAATTATAATTAAAAAAACTTATCATATAATCACAAACCGTGAGGAACATTTCCTGAAACTGTTCTTGAAACTGTAAGCTTCATTACATTACAGTAGAAGTACCAGAAATACCCGGGCCTACATGGGGGGCCTTTGATTATTGTCTTGGACAGTCAATCCTTGGAGTCAAAAAAGTTGAGAACCACTGCTCTAGGGTTCTGTGGACATCATGTACACATGCGAGCAAAGTCCACAAGACCGCAGGTCCACATCAAGTGACTCATTTGGACAGGGCCAAAGATCCTGTAAGAGCCAGAAGTGATGTAATGCTGACATCTGTGTGCTCTTGAGGCATGAGGCATGCTGAAAAACTAATCTAAGTAGAAAAAATACACAAGAAAATCAGTTTTTGTCGGTGTGCTGTAGAGCTTTAAACCAGAATCCTAATGCCTGATCTGCTCTAATGATTTGCATTTTTTCACACGTCATTTACATCAGTCGGGTCTTGAGATAATTGGCCTCAGAAGAACTGAATGTTTACTTCTAAGCTAGTCTTTGCTTTTGAATATAGGTCTCCTCCACATTTTAATGCTTTTGCTATAATGATAATATCAGTCATCTAAAAGATCACACAGATAAGATTTGTAATGAGACATCTTCTCTTTTCATGGGGAAAACAGATTTCGTCTGTTACAACACTTACGATCTTTTTCACCAGAATCAGATGAAGTATTATTCAGCATCTAAGCATTTCCCATCAGGAACCGTTAGAGGTCTTGACCAAACTTGGTTTTGGATCTCCGTGTGGCTGCGGCCAGATCTGCTGTTTGCCCGCCGTCTGAGAATGTGCCACTGCTTGGATTGGACTGCATTTGTGGAGTTTATTTAAAACATGAGGCTGCTAGTCTTTCAAATCTTTGAAGGTGATTATTTCATCCTGTGCATGCTTTGTGCACGCATACACTGCCGTTCAAAAGTTTGTGACCAGTTTACTTAATGTTTTTGAATGAATTCTTTTATGCTAACCACACCAATTGCAATATAAAATAACTACTTTCTATTTGAATATATTTTAAAATGTAATTTATTTCTGTGATGGCAAAGCTGAATTTTTAGCATCATTACTCCAGTCTTCAGTGTCACATGATCCTTTAAAAATCATTCTAATATGCTGATTATTATTGTTGAAATGGTTGTGCTGCTAAATATTTTTGTGGAAACAGTGATACATTTATTTTTTTCAGGATTCTTTGTTTAATATATAGTTCAAAAGCACTGAATTTATCTGAAATATAAATCTTTGGAAACATTACAAAAACCCTTACTGTCACTTTTGATAAATGTAATGCACACTTGCTGAATAAAACTATTTTCTCTGCAAAAACAACAAAAAACCTTACAGACCCCAAACTTTTGCACTGAAGTTTACTTAGTGATGAAACCACAGTAACAGTATTGTTACTATCTTTGTAGTGCATAAAGACTCCTTCAACCTCAACACGAATCCTTTCCTTTATACTGTCTAAATGATGTTCTGTGGTTGTGATCTATGTTTACCTTGAAGTACAGTTGTTTCACTCATAAGTCTTTCCAGCACATCACTGTCTAGTTTTTCAAAGGCCTCGTTGGTTGGAGCAAAAAGTGTGTAGTGTCCGGGCTCTCCCAGTTGACCCTGGAGACCCGATCTCAAAGCAACTGTCTATAAAAGACATCAAAAACAAAATGTTTTCCAAGATAATTCTCTGAATTCATATGTCCCTGCTGAGGAATGTTTTTTCATCTGTGATGGATACACGGCTATTCAGAAAGCTTCCAAAGAGTTTTGGTCATATTCATTTCCAAAACCACAGGTATAATCACACGTACGTTCAGTGAAGCCAGGTCATCGTTGGTTTCGATCACGTCCTTGATCGTTTGACTTATGATGCTGATGATCCGATCAATGACATGCACAACTCCATTAGTGGCCACCTGGTTTGCGTGAATGATCCTGGCACAGTTCACAGTGACAACCTGCAAAATTGTTGAAAAAGAGTTTAGTGACTTTAAAACTGTAGTTGAGGATAGTTCATCCAAAAATTCATAAATAAAGAGTTTTTTATGGTATCCAAGTAATGTTGTTTTGGATCCTATTGGTCTATATATCTTTTTATATATATCTAAATATCTTTTGTGCTCCACAGATGAAGGAGAGTCTTACAGGTTTGGAAAGACATGAGGGTGAGTAAGTAATGGCACAATCTTATAGGTGCAAACAGTGTTGTAATTGTTAACTAAAACTACAAATATTTATAAAAATGTTTTTGTTGATGTAATAAATCTGAAATAAAATTAAAAAATCTTGTAAAACAAAAACAAAATAAGTTTAAGCCAAACTAATATAATTACTGCAACAAAAACTGAAATAAAAATAAATTAGCTCAACTAAATAGAAATAAAAAATAAATAAAAATTACAAAAGCACAAAACAAAATTACTAAAACATGAATTCAATTAAATTACAACTTAAAATATATCTTAAAACAAGCTCATTCAAAACATTTATAAATACTATAACAACATAAATAACACTGTTTCATACACACAATTAATTTGAAGAAAAGAGAAACATACTCCATTTGAGTAATGATTGATATAGAGGCCTTGTTTGTTATACATGGACTTTAGGGTCATATCATTCTTCAGATCCTTGGTGAGAAGACGTTTGTTGACCATGTGATAGTGGAGTGCATTGTAAAGTTCAGTGTTTCCACTGCTGACCAAGGCAGCTTTTGATGCCTGGAAATAGAGAATCAATGCTAAAAGGTCAGAGCTTTGCACTGGGGAAAGAAGACGGCATGACGGCATATTCCTCAATTTATTTCTTTTTAATAAGTTCCATTCAGTGCTTCACTTAATAATAACATGCACATTTGATCACCGATTTAAACATAGCATGCAAATACTGCAGCTCGAATGAATTATAACGTGGCAGGGAATTTGACTCACAGGATCTAACTCTTCCCAGACATCGTCACTGGGTGCAAACATTGTATAAGATCCCGCTCCATCGAGTTCTTCCCTCAGTTTGGATTGATCAGAGTATCGTTGGGTGATCTTGGCTTGCACCAGATTCAGGGTGCCGTACACAGTGTCAATAGGAGCCACTGGGTGATGGAGCAAAATTGAAAAGAAATAAACAAAAGAGTCTCATGCACAGTTTAGATTCAGTATAGAGTTACAAAACAGTACATATTCCAAACTCAGGCTCCTTTCACATGATGCGAAGCTCGAGTTCTTGTTCAAGACTAGCTGTGGCTCATTAAACTCATGTATAAGTACAGACAGCTGGGTCTGGATTTTGTTTAGAGAACAAAAGCTAATGTTCTCCTCCACTGAACTCGTAGCCAATGAGTAACCTGACATTTAATCTAAGCATGACCTTAAACTGAAGTCAAATGTGTGATAATTGTTGATGATTAACAATTTAGCAGTAAACATAATCATATGTATTAACCTTGGGCATGTGCACTACAGACACGATGACACCGCAAATCATGCTGCTTGGCCAAAATACTGTAACATTACCATAGTTACCATTCAGAACACTCTAGCAAGCATATAGCAATGTTCCAACAACCACTCAGACTAGCAACCTCATAAGAAAATATAAAATGCTATGTAATATTTCTATTGATGGAATGAATGAATACTGACCTGCGGGGCACCCACGCTTCCCATCTAACTTCATATAACCCGGACAGCATTCATATAAGACCACCCTGCATAGAAAGAGTCAAAATATTAAAACAGTATCATAAACTTAATATTCAAATAATGTTGCTGAGATGATAACTGTCTTTGGTAGCTAAAGAATTTAAAATATTTTATTCCTACCAAATTTGTTCCATTGATATAAAATGGAAGGAACTGACATTTTGTTCATATTAAGTCCTGAAAACTCACGCGATTAATTATTTAAGCATGTCTTGTTAATTTTTAAATATTTAGATGCGTCTTTTTCATATGAAACATGTTTCTTCAACCATCTGGACTTTTGTTATTAATTTAGTGGTTTTTCCCCAACATTTTTGCAGTTTTTAAAAACTGAATTGTCTCAAA